ATATTAGAAGACTTGTTTCTATGAAAGACCTAAAGTTAAAGAGTTTAAAGACACATGATTGCCATGTTCTTATGGAACACTTTCTACCAATAGGTATACGTTCTATTTTGCCAGAAAAAGTGAGAGGCGCAATAACAAAATTGTGTTTCTTTTTCAGATCTATTTGTAGTAAGGTGATCGATCCTGCGATCTTACCAACATTGCAAAAAGATATAATTATTACTTTGTGTGAGCTTGAAATGTATTTTCCTCCGTCATTCTTTGACATAATGGTACATCTAGTTGTGCATCTCGTGAAAGAGACACAACTGTGTGGACCTGCATATATGAGATGGATGTATCCAGTTGAACGTTATATGAAAATATTGAAAGGGTATGTGAAAAACCGAAGTCGACCAGAGGGATGTATTGTTGAACGATACATTGTTGAAGAAGCTATTGAGTTTTGTACTGAATATTTGTCCAACGTTCAATCCATTGGCCTCCCAAAATCTGATGTTGTTGAAAAAGTAGTAGGTAAACAGTTAATTGAAAATAAAGTTGTGACAGTTTCAAGGGATGAACGGGAGCAAGTGCATTTATATGTTCTGCACAATGACATTGAGGTTGAGCAGTACGTTAAATTGCACAAGGACGTTCTTCGAGGTTTAAATCTGAATAGAAATGAAAATTGGATAGTACGTGAGCACAATCGAAGTTTTATAACATGGTTCAAAGAGCATATTTATTCAAAGTTTTATTCTGATCCCGCTTCAATAACAGAAAGGTTGAGATGTTTAGCATATGGTCCAACTTTGCATGTGTTTTCTTATAGCGCATACGCAATTAATGGATACACATTTTATACCAAGGAGCAAGATGATAAAAGTAAAATGCAAAATAGTGGTGTCACTGTGCTTGCCGAATCAATGCACATTTCCTCGTATTTTGGGGTAATCGAGCGCATTTGGGTGTTTGATTATGAGAAGTTTCAGATTCCTATCTTTGGATGCAAGTGGGTTGAAAGTAATAGTGGCATACGTATGGATAAGTCAGGTTTTTTGCAAGTGGATCTTAATAAGGTGGGGTACAAAGATGAGCCTTTTATTCTAGCCACACAAGCTAAACAAGTGTTCTATGTCACTGATCCGAAAAGTACGAAATGGTTTATAGTTCTTTTTTCGAACAAAGTAATCAACGATAACATTGGAGAAAAGGGGGAGGTTGATGTTGAGAATGAATCTTATGTTAGGGATGATCCAGATGAGAATATTATAGCAGACGAATCATATATTAGAAATGATCATAGCGAGGGAATTTGGATCAATCCATCCGTCCGTGTTGTTAAGAGACAAGTAAAGCACCTTCGAACTAAAAAAAGAAAAAGATGTTAAAGGTACTTGTAAAATTACATATTGTCTCATTCAATAAAATAACATATTATTTCTTATTTATACGTTTCTTATGTGTATATATATATATATATATATATATATATATATATATATATATATATATATATATATATATATATATATATATATATATTTCTTATTTACATATTTGAATGTCATTCATTTGATACTTTAGTTTTCCTGAATTACAGGTATATTATGGCCAGCAATAAAGATTGGAAGAAATTAAAGTAGAATTGTATAATTTGTGATGTTGAATTTCGAGTTGAGAATTGTATATAATTTGTGATGTTGAATTGTGAAGCTTTTGAATTATATATATTAAAGTGGAATTGTATATAATTTGTGATGTTGAATTGTGCATATAATGTCAAAGTGTTGAATTGTGCACATAATGCCAAAAGTGTTGAATTGTGTATATAAAGCCAAAGTGCTGAAATAAAGGGCTAAATTATATAAGCAGGTATTGTAATATAAGCAGGTTTATTGAAAAATATATAAAAAATGCCATTAATCAGAATTTTTTTTTTTCAAAACGTGCACATTAGACAGCGCTTTTATGTATAAGCGCTGCTAAAGGGGACAGAGAAACTGCTAAAAAAGCGCTGCTATAGGTGGGGAAAGAGGGGTCTAAGACAGCGCTTTCATAAAGCGCTGCTATAGGGGGGGTCTAAGACAGCGCTTTAATAAAGCGCTGCTATAGGGGGGTCTAAGACAGCGCTTTAATAAAGCGCTGCTAAAGGGGGGGAGGGGGGGAGATTAGGCAGCGCTTTAAAAAGCGCTGCTAAAGGGGTAAAAAAACGCTGCTAAAGGTGATGTCTTTAGCAGCGCTTTTTCCACAAAAAAAGCGCTGCCTTTACCTTTAGTAGCGCCACTTTAGGAGCGCTTTAAAGCGCTGCTAAAGGTCAAAAAAAGCGCTGCTAAAGGTCTGTTTTAGCATAGTGTCTTGTCTTGAAAAACACAAGCATTGTTATAAAAAAACAACATTACATGATAGGTCTGTTGTGAGTTTTTGTATGTAGATTAAGCTAGTTGACAATTTGAGATGTGAATGAACATTATGAAGGATTATAGATGGACTTATTTGGATATCTCCTTATCCAGCTACACTCATAAGGGTATCATCTGCAATGGATATTTTTTTGTTGCTAGGACATGGTGAATAAGTAAAAAAGTGTATGGGTAAAGGTATCATGTGGTTAGTGGCTCCGGATTCCAGTATCTAATATTGGTTAAAAGGTTTATCTGAGACATTAAATCCAAAAGAAAATCGAGACTTTACAAAGAGGAATGAAAAAGGAAACATACAAAAAAGAAAGCACATGTAGATTTCTCTAACTTACTAATGAGAGATCTCAACCTTTCTACTTCATCTTGGTTGAGTTGAATTAATTCTCCTATTGACATATTGATAGATGTCATGTAAATGTGTCTGACTCAATTGAATAAAAAAATCAGTTGACGGTTGCAAGCCCTTTTACTATACTTGAATTTGTTTTTTTTTTAAAAGTGAACAGTGCTGCGATGAACAGTACTCTGCAGGTGTGATGAACAGTGTTGCGGTGAAACAATACTCTACTATAAACAGTTTTGCGGCGAACAGAACTATGGTTTGAACAATGTTTCCGACTAATAAACCATTTTTACCCCCACAATGACTGACGGCTAGGGTTTTGAGGAAAGAACCGCAATGACGGCAACTAGGTTTTCAAAAAGAACCGCAATTAAGATAGTTGATTTTTTTTATGCAGAAGTAAGGCTGGAAATGAGTCGAGTCGAGTCGAACTCACCTCAGCTCGGCTCGACTCGTTAAGAATTGTTCGAATTCGAGTTCGAGTTCGAGTTCTACACGAACTTTTTTTTAAGCTCAAACTCGACTCGTTATAAGTTCACGAACAGTTCGGTTCGACTCGTTAGGTTCATCTCATTAGGTTCAGCTCACATGGTTCACGAACTTAAAAACTATTTTTTTAAATATATATATATATATATATATATATATATATATATATATATATTTTAGTATATTTGACATTTTAAATAAATAAATATATTTTAAATAAAATATTAAAATAAAATAAAAGTTATCATATTGAAATTTAACTTTATCTTCGAAATCTACTAATTCAAAACCTACACAACTTTCAAGAGATACATTTGAGAGTCTAATTCAAAAACTAATAAATTGAAGATTAAATTTGTCTAAGATTTGAAGTAAATATTTAAACCTAATCTTAAAGACAGTATAATTCTTTTCATATGTAATCGAGTTGACTCATGAACCTAACGAGTCGAACTATGTATAGTTCAAGTTCAGCTCATTTAGTTAACGAACTTAATTTTTCGCTCATACTCAACTCATTTGGTTCATGAACCTAACTCAACGATTTAATTGTCGAGTCGAATTCCGAACTATCTTCGAGTTGGTTTGGTTCATTGCCAGCCCTATGCAGAAGTAAAACTCTATTGGACGAGAACACGTGATACCATATTTAAAATTGAATAATGTATTTCAAGTATGTTAAAAGTTATAAGCACTGATCTAATCTAATGGGCCTAACTAATGGACAAAAGTCCCAAATATAAATTACTACTAATAGTAGTAAAAATAAGTTATTTACAACAATTACTAAACATGTTGATTTGTTTGCATAGAAACCAATTAGACTAAGAAAATATAACAGCTAGTTCTATTTCTGTATGTTTTTTACATGATAAGATAATGGTTTTAATTTCTAGCTATGGATAGATATTCACAAATAAATTTAGCTTTCATTAGCTCCTTTTTATCTTGCATCCATCCTCTCACAAAGGTCGTGAGTGACTGTAAGTGGTCTCTTTATCCACTGATTTGTGAAAACACAAATGGCGATACCGGCAACTACTGATACCGTATTGTTGGGACCGTTTTTGCAGTCGTGAGGATTTGATAAAAATTCACAATCCAGAAGTAAATAATTTCACAGAACCAATAATAAAGAATCCTAAACCCTTAAATCAACCAACTATGTTTCTCTCAAAATATTTTTCTATTAATAATAGAAAGCAAATTATAAGTTTTTCTTAGGAGAAATAAAAGTGGAGAAGAACAAAGATCGATATTCAGAAAAATATAAAGTTGAAAAAGTAAAAAAGGAAAAATTGAAATGAATTGTTTTTGAAAATTTACAATTAATATATTTGGAGAAAATGTATAATTAAAAATATATTACTAGCAAAGAATAAAAAAATTACACATAAAAAATGACAATTTCATAGGATTAAATCATAAAACTACTCAACTTTTTAAGATAAATAAATAAAAATTCAAAATTTTTAATATATTTTGAATAAAACCCTCTAAGGGTGGAGATTGAATAGAAAACGCAACCAAAGGTTTTTGACTAGAGTGTACTACACTTGGTAAAATGGATGTTCTTTTTGCAAATGCAAGTTCTAAGTAGGAATTTCAGTAAAGTGAAATGATATGACAAGAAATTTTAATCATTGATACTCATTCATGAATCATAATATATATAAACATGAATATTCACAACGAACTCTGACTTACAATATGTCATTATATGCAATTTCCGCGGACATAGCAACAAAAAAGGTATCCTATAATTACTTATAACCATCCCTCTTGTCTTGTTCCTCAGCTTCCTTGTTGGCTGCTTCAACAGACTTGAACCACAAGAAGGCCTGAATTGAAAATCATGACCTCATTAGCTCACAATACAGGTCTATTTGAATTGACTTATTTATGTTTATCTATTGACAAGAACTATGAAGCACAGACACTACAAATTATGCATATCCAAGGCCCATACAAAACAATGCCGGATAATAAAAAATTTCTATCTTTGCTTAGACACATTTTACCCCATAGACTCATACATACGCTTATAATAAAGACCTCTAAAAAGTTAAAACAAAAGTATTTTAATTAGGTATTTGAATAATATGTTCATATGGACAACTTCTCATACAAACATCTTCATCTTCTACAACATTTAAGGATGATGACTAGTGAGTGGATTAAATCTTAGAAATCTTAAAATTGATTGCATTATTTTTAGATTTTCAATAAGAGATAGAAGAAGATAAAATACTAGTGTATCTTGTCTTAGAATTTCTTTTGTAACAAAAATAATTGCTCAATTTAGATGAATATGAAAAAAAACTAATCAGGTCAAAGTCAAACTGTTTTAAGAGTCGGTTTGATAACACAAAAAAAGAACTTTTAATTTTTCAGCTCATGTTAAAAAAAAACTATGTTTTGATAATCTTAAATGTGTTTGGATCTCATCCAAAAACTAGCTTAATAGACTTCACACATTTTTACATTCGACTCCCCGAGAAACTAAGCAATATGGGACTTCAAACAAGCTACAAACAACTTTAATACACAAAAATTACCAAAATAGCTTAAGAATACAAGTTATAATTATATAATTTGCCCCATTAGAACAATTCAATTGGTAGCGACCGACCTTAATATCCAGGGTTTGGGTTTGAACCCAGAATTCCCCACTTCTCAGTAGCTATAAACTTTTACTTCTAATTCCCTATCAAATAGATGAACAATAAATGATAAAATGGTTTACTCAAGAGATTACCGAAGTAGGAACACCGGTGAAGGCGAAAAAACCAAGCAAAGGAGCATAAAATATGCTGTCGGAGCTCAAAACACCAAACACAGGCTTTTGATTCACATACTCAAATATCGAACCAATCTGCAACACCAAATTCAAATTCCCCAATCATGCAAGAAACATGAAATGAAAAAGAAAAGGAAAAGGAAAAGAAAGAGAACAAGTTAGTTACAGCGGCAATAGCAGTGATAGCAGAGGCAAGTAAATAAACATAAAACGGAATCTCAAATCCTTGTTCTGAAGAAGAGCTTTTGTTTTGTGCTTCGTTTTGAGCCCATGGTGGAGGTTCGTTGGAATCGGGCTTAGCCCATGAAGGAATTTTTTCGTCAGATTTACTGGACTCGGTTGAGCCTTTGGTTACTGCCACCACTAGAAACCTATGCGATGCTTTTTTCTTTGTAAGAAACATGCTCTGACATAGGGGAGCACCAAGAATGGCTTTGGATTGCGATGCATGTCGGTTTTGTAAGGTGCAGACTGTTGAGAGTGATGAAGAGAAGGTAGCACTTCCTGCGAGTGCCATGGATGACGGTGTTTGTAAATTGTAACAGAAATTTGGCCAAGGAAATCTTATCCTACATTGGAACATGGGCCTGTATGATGTTAATTGAATGTTAAATTTCTTTTACCTCACATCCTTATATTTTAACAATATAAAAAATTGGATAAAAATACTTTTGTATAAATATTCAATCACTAAAAAATTCTAACTTTTTTTTTTTCATTTTCTTCTGTCTAGAGCGTGTAAAATTTGAGTAAATTTTTTTTTTACTATCGAGAACCCAAACACAAGACATTTGGTGCACGTTTTGCATTCTGGAGAACTCAATAATAAGTTTTTCACTTTAATTTTATTTAAGTTTCTTCTTCTTATAATTTGTGGTGAAGTTATCTGTTGGTATTTTTTACATATCGGATAACTCGTGGTCTAGTTATTCGGTTCTTTTATTTGTTTTACCGGATAATTTATTCTCATGTTATTCGTTTCTGTTGGTTGATGTTCCGAAAAACTTGCCTAATAGTTTTCCAGTTTGATAGATTTTGATTTTCTTAAATTATTTTTAATTTTTTTTAGTGACTCGCATTCGAGGACATGATAGAAGAATTTATCGATGATACAATGAGGGACGACCGACTCGACAGCCGTCGAATCGTGAGGAAGATCAGATAGCAGCACCTGTGCCTATTCCGCTGCATCTATCATTTTCTGGAGGACCATCCGATACGTCTCTTTTAACGAGGTATTAAAACCACGTTGCTCGGCATTTGTGGGAGGGGCAAGTAAGTTTGTCTATGAAATTTTATCTTTAAACAAATTTAATGTTAATTATTTATATATTATAACATATATTATGATTTATTTTTAGGAGATATTTCTGAAGAAAGAGTTAAAGGTTGTTATGCATGGCAGCAAGTTGATTGGACGGGTTCCACATAGTCTCCCACCAGTGATTGAGCGATGGTTATCTGATTCTGATATATCCTTTCTACAGAGAACCAATTTATCGAGGATATATCAGAATTTGGTATCTGCATTTGTGGAGAGATGACATCCAGAAGCATCGTCATTTCATATGCCATTTGGCGATATGACTATTATTTTGGACGATGTTTTTTGTCTACTTCATATACCGTGTAGGGGGAGTTGTGTAACCCTACAGAAGGGTTCACTGATTCAGATGTCATTACTCAGGCTATTGATCTTCTGGGAGTTTTGTTGGAGGATGCTGCTGAAGAGGTTCGTGGTGCCAGAGGTTCTTATTATAGCCTGGATTGATTGAAGTAACTGTTTATCCGTCAGCAAGCTGCAAACAGATTTGATTATGCAGCTAGAGCATACATGTTGTTGTTAGTTGGCTGCACCTTTTTTGTTGCTAAGACCTTCACACTTGTAGAGGAAAAATATTTACCACTATTTCAAGACTTGTCTAAATATGGTAGATACTGTTGGGGGGAAATGCACTTGTCACACTTTATAGATATCTAAGAGATGCTTCCTTTTACAGTTGCAGAAAGCTCGAGGGATATACCTCTTTGCTACAGGTACAAATGATTTATTTTAATTTCATTTAGACATATATTAGTTTATTTATGATACTTTTTATTGACAATATTCATTTTGTGTTACAATGTTGGATTCGTGAGTATTTTCCTACTATTGGCAAGAGAGGATTTTCTAAGATTACAGGTATCGGTAATCCATTTCCTAGGCCGATGAAGTGGATGTACAAGCAAGGCACACAAAAGGTTGATGAGCTAAGGCCTACATTGGATGGATTGACACCTGTTGATGTCATCTAGCGACCTTTTGAGGATCACAGACAGCATCGGCTATTTGGTGATATATGCTTGTACAGGGGTGTCCTAAAATGGTATGGTACTGTTGTTCTATATTTATCTGACAAATTTTTGCGTCAGTTTGGATACAGGAAGTACATACCACCTCCGCCTCCTAATGTTGACACACTTGATTTGTATATTGAGTGGGTTACATATCACGGGAGCGTGATGGAAGTGATCCATCTAGCCAAGTTTGCAGATACTTCATATGATGTGGTGCCCGATTACTTGGATTGATATTACGGGTGTCGCATCCTCGTTTCGTACCACCACCTCAGAGGGAGGTCAGGTAGGTCCCAGTTGACGAGGTCAGACAGGCTCTGATTCCTGTCTATGATGCAAGACCACCAGACCTTGGGTTATTACATATTTCACATGAGCTTAGTCGATATCTACAGTGTCACGAGGCGGAAGAGGATGATGATGATTTTGCTAAGGTCTTTCGAGCACTTAGTATATCTCAAGGTGGACCAGTACGTTATGTTAATGATAATGATTGATGTATTATTTACTATTCAGACTTATGTACTATTTCTCATATGTATGTCGTATTCTTCATATTTATATAATATTATCCAAACTTATATAATATTCCTTATGTAGTATAATTTTCTAACACACCATAAATTAAATATAACACAAATCAAATGTCAAAATAAACCAAAATATAAAAATCACATTCTAACTATAATCTAACATATTTTGACACCACACGCGTAAGTTGCTGCCAATGTTGTAATCATCCAACAAATTTTGTCATCCAAGAAGTTGCATATGATATATGATACTTCTTCCAATCCAATGTGATTAGTGGCAAGGGAAATACTTCATTCATGTTTACCTATTAAGAAAAATTAGTAAGTAATACATAAACGAAAGAGAATTAATTAACATAACAAACATGAATATTTACCTGGACCCATGTTTTCCTACTCCAATAAACATAATCAGATTCCTCTATCAGCTTAAACAATTGTTGCATTTCTGAATCTTAGTCTTATGTTTATATATTTGGGTGATTCGAGTCACATTCTCCGGATCTCGTTCTTGTAATGACAACAATATGTGTCTTGGTGGAACATGATGTTTTGTCAAATCAACAATATATTGTTGTTCATCAGCATTAAGTCGACTTACAAACGCATGACCTTCAAATCTATCCGGTAAATCATGGTAGTGAAGTCCACATTTTACGTCAATATTCCAATCAGAACTATCTTTTGAAGGTGTTGACCTAATTTTGAATGGACAAACACATTTCTAGGTAGCCCTTTGTGTTTCACTATCTCCTTCTTTGTATTTTCTACCTCTATCATAACCAAATATAACTTTGTCACTTCTTCCTCTCTTGCCAGTTTTGGTGTCCGAACGAGTTATTATAATAGTAACTCTATTCTTAATTCTAACCTCCATAATCCTCCTAGTCGCCTCATATCGCGTGGTAAATTTTTTTGTAGTCAAGAATATCTCAGTCGTGTCTACACATGTCTGGTTTTTATCGCATATCATCAAAGAATTTTCCATGCCTAACATAAATGTGACAAAAATTAATATAATTAATTAATAAAAAAGCGTTACGGATAACTTGGGGTAAAGTTATCCGGAAGTCAAAAAACCAAAACCGGAACACTTTTACATAAGTTACCCGGAACGTGTAAAATCACAAACCGGAGAACTTATTAGTGTGTTTTCCAGAATGTATTATATGAACCGGATAAATCACGTACAATTATCCGGTTTGTTAAATTATACAACTGGATTTCTTATATGTGTGTTTTTTGGTTTGCAAATATTGCATTCTGGATTTCTTTACCTAATTTTATCCGATTGGCGTCGTATATTTAAAAATTTGTAGGGGTATGGGGATAAGTGTGGGGTAAATTTTTTTGAATGTTGTCGATGTTAATGTTTGGGCTTGAACCTTGAGAATATAGTAAAAAAAATCTTATAGTACCCCATGAATTTCTATCACATTGTGTGAAATTTTATATATGCACCTTGATTCTGAAGATACATCTCTGGACGCACAAAAAGTTTAGTGAACGTTGAATTATTCTGGAGATATATCTTTGAAACAATTTGGAGTATAAGTCGCTCCAAACTCTTCTCCTCACTTATTTCACAGTTTGTTCACACACAACCTCAAACTCTTCTCAATACACTTTAACTTCACAACATCAAATTTTATCAATTAACACTCATAGAAACATCAAACATCATCAATAACATCATTCAACATCATCAAAATCATAAATTTTAGTTAAATTTTTTAGTTTTTGGATAAATTTAGAATTATGTAAATGTGTAGAAATAAATGATTAGGGTTAGAAATGTATAGAAATCATATGTAACATAGTTTACACTTAGTGTATGATTTGTTTGTTGGCTCAAAATGGCGATGAAATCATATTTTTTCAACTTGCATGAGGCACATTACGCCATTAACGCAACCTCTGAGTTACAGAACTTTCTGGAGATACATCTCCAAAATAGTTCAGTGTTTTATATACTTTGGAAATTTCCAATGATGCATCTTCGGAACTCTTCAATGTTAATAGCTTTATGGTGTTTTCGGAGATTCATTTTCGAAATTATTCAACATTATTGTTTTATGGTGTTTCCGGAGATGCATCTCCGAAATTTCCTGCAGTCTATTTTTTAAAAAAATTTCTTGTTTGTTTTGTTTTGTTTGCGTGCACTAATGATATGCCTTACTTTATCTTACAGTCATAATGGCTGACAGAGTCGACAGACTGATACATGGTAGGATAGCCCAACACATATCCATTCGGCAGGAGTAGAGTCAACAGGTTCTTGAGGCAACAGATACCTCTGATCAGGCAGAGGCGTCGACTTCTGGGGATCGTGTTGTACCTCAGGCCATTCCATCCACTACTACAAAAAATGCTTGTTACCTCGGACGCAAAATTCATAAAACCTTGGCTATAGAAGCGAGGTAATTGATGACGACATGATAACTCGCAACTTATCACCTCAATGATATTAAAATCGAGAGGTAAAGTTAAATGCACATGGGTTCGAACCCCCAACAACAACACTTTTATTATTTTCAAAACTAGCGTATATTTCATCTCGGTTTATCTTGAAAACCAAGGGGTTAGATAATTTCTTTTTTTTTTTTTAATTATTACATTGTTTACACAAAATATTACCTAAAATATT